CGGTGTGGGGCTTATTTATTTAAATTAGAGAGTGATTCAGGGATGTGCTGGGAACTTTCAGGTACCCCTTTTTCTTTCTTTCTTTCTTTCTTTCTTTCTTTCTTTCTTTCTTTCTTTCTTTCTTTCTTTCTTTCTTTCTTTCTTTCTTTCTTTCTTTCTTTCTTTCTTTCTTTCTTTCTTTCTTTCTTTCTTTCTTTCTTTCTTTCTTTTTTTTTCTTGGATCTGCTCATGTGATGTTTGTCTGGAGGTGAATACAGGAAAATAAAGAAATGTATGAGGTCAAGAGGAGAGCTGCAAAAGTACCTCAGCACTGAGAAGGCCACTTTGTTCCCTGCGTTCAGTTATCTAAACCAAAAAGTACCATGAGACTCCCTGTTCCTGCCTATAGATCTAGAAAGCCTAATGCTCACTTATGTGGTCCATGGGAAATCTGAAGTCAGATAGATGTAGTCAACTGTCACAAATCAGGGCAAACTGTGCCCCAGGAAGTTTTTGCCTTGAAAGTAAGTGTTAAAGATCACTGTTTTATGAGTAATTCATCAGCAAGAGAATGTAAGGAAGCACTGGCTAACAGTTGTCCTCTTTGGAAATAAACACATACAGTGAGCTGTAGGAAAGGGTCAATATGTTACCAATGAGGCAAGTAAGATTTATTATATTCACTTTCCTTGTTCTGGAAGCAGATGGCTAACATAGTTCATCATGATGAACTGATAGCTTTTCAGAATGAGCTGTCCCATGCATTAAAAAAAAGAGAGAGAGAGAGAGAAAACAGTATTAGAGAGAGAAACAGCATTAGTAGAAGATGCAGCAATGCAGCAATGCTCATTCTGCCTCAGATCACAAAGCATGCGATTAGTCTTCACTAACAGTTGTTTCTGAATGAGTTTCAGCTCTGAAAGCACACAGAGATCATTTTCCTTAAAGCCAACAGGAACATCTTACTTAGGTGTTTCATAATCAAATTAAACAGGTTCCTCCTCTAGTCCATGAAGAATGGAAACAAAACGTAACAAAACAAAACAAAAACAAAACAAAACAGAACAAAAAAACAAAAACCACAAAACCAACTTCCCTCTAGGACATCATTTATTGCTACACCATGATGGAAAACCAAATTCCACAGAGTTCAAACTAATCAAACCCAAACTACTTAAAGTGAGCTATTGTTGTTTTAATGGTAAAATTAGGAAGCTCATACACAAAATCCAAGTAGTAGGCCACTAGAGTAAAGGCTATTGAAAAAACAAGCTGCTTATGTTAATTAAGCAAAGAAAATCTGCCTGGCAGACAAGAATAAATTTGAAACAAATGCATTTGAAATACTCATCTATTTCTTGGTGTTTGCCAGAGAACTCAGGCATAGCTAAAACATGTACTCATCCATCCCTTCTTAAGGATTAAGGAAGTTGCTGTCAAATTGACTAACTCTGGTGGAGATGCATTTGTCTTTAAAAGCAGAAGCCAATACACATTGATGTCCAGCAGGTTTTGTGGAAGTATCTACAGAAATAGATAAAAGAGACCTTGCTTCTGCTTCTTTTGAAAGGCAGGATACAGTGCAACCTATTAGGCCTCAGAGCCTTTAGCCTTTAGCCTTTAGGCCTCAGAACTTTTGTTCTATAAAACCTAAAACAAGGCAAAAGTTTTTGTCAGTGCTTATCTTATGGGGCCCCGAGGAGCCAGCCATGAAAAACCAATCTATGGAAACCAGGCTACGTCACTACTGCTGCTCACTCTTTAGTGGTTGTGAGGAGATCATTATCAACAGCTCAGTTATCTCCTTCACTGCCACATACTCTTTTAACAAATTGATCCAACAATTTGTTGCTGGAACCAATGGAGAGAAGTTAGGCTATACCAATATCCAGGTCTTCGTGGATTTTTTTTATTTTTTTTTTCAGACCCAAGAAGGCAATCAAGAGAATAGAGTTAATCCCATATACTTTCAAAAAATGTATTCTACTTCCCCTTTTCTTTTTCCCAAAAACATTTAAAACTTTTTCATATAAGCCTTTTGTAATGACACATTAACACCTGCATTTGACATTTGCACACATGTAAAGGGTAACTGCAGCATATTCCAATGTAGTCACATCAAGAATAGCTACATTTCTATTTTTATAATCTTCTTATTGTAGACACGCTACATTCTGTGATGTTAAAAACATTGCCAAAAAATCAGACATGACACCAGTGGGGACTTTAATTAAGATTTTTAGATGCATCATTTGCTATTGAATAGATATTCAAGAACTTCCAGCTTTTAAGTATAATGTTATTACACGATGCTATTATTTCTCTGAAAAGATAAAATGAAGATGTCATTTTCTAAGTTACACTGTTTTGTGGGGTGTTTTTTTGTTTGTTTGTTTGTTTGTTTTCTTCACATTTTAGAGCAGGAATTTCCAATGTAACTGCCCAGAGCTGACAAATTTGTTAACAGAGGCAGTTAGTAATCTCTTACAACATCCTGATGTGTCTATATGAATTTCTATTGAGGTGTTGCTGCTTTGTGGACAGTGTCTGATTACATTACAAAGAACAGCCCAAGTACAGTGATAAAACTTTGATAACCAACCTAAATGAAAATACGGCAAGCACAGTGCAGGATAGCCACAGACACCTGATTCTACTTCATTAAAAGAGATGCAATAGTTGTACTTTCACATTTGTATATCTTTCTACTTGACATGTGCTAAAATGTGAATTTATTTTAAATATGTTTAGATGCCATTTTGATTGTCTTGCACTTTTAAGATATGAATTATTGTAGTGAATAATGTTTTCAGTACTACAAACTTCATGAGCACACTGGTTGCTTCATAAAAGATTTTATAGTGAATCTGAAAATTTCTTCCTTTCTTTTCATAAGAGAAACAAGAGACATGTAAGACGTTAAAGTTTCTTTATTTGTAATCAGACCTGCGTCACATCTGTAATAATTTTTAGTCTGTATTTTTGCCAGAAAATATAATCTGTCAGTGAAGATACCAAAAATACCCGCTTTTACCATTTAGTGAGCATGTAAGAAGTCAAGGGTTAAGTATTCTTTTGTGCAGTTCTCTCACATGCAGTACAGATCTCAACTACATATACTGGATGCAAGTGGTGTGCAGAACATCCTTTGCCAATAGATGATACTTAATGCATGCCTTAATTTAGGGATATATATAATAGATAGAAGATGCATTATTTGGGTCTCAGGGAAAACTACACTATTTATGTAAGGGTATTTGTTTTTCCTTGATAGGAGACCATAGTAAACCTCCTCAAGGCTCTGCAAAGCTTTATACCATTCTTCTCTCCCCAAGATATTAGACTTCTGACAGCACTGAAATGATATGCATGATGTACTGGTTGAGTAATGATGTGTCTAAAAGGACTAAAACAGTAAAGAGATATTGAAGAACAGCATAGGAAGGGAGGAATAGGCTTATAAGAAGCAATGGCAAAAGCCTGGATTCACTGGCTTTTGAAGTTCCTCTTCTTATAACATGATGATTTAAAGAAAATATACTGACACAAAAAATAATTTCCAGACTACTGTATTATTACTAAAAATGTAATTACCAGGAAGAAATAAAAAGACTTGTCTTGCAAATTTCTGAGAAAAAAAAAAAAAAAAAAAAGACTAATTTCAAATAAATGGTGATTTTGCTGTCCTTCCTTTCCATATCATTCTAGGTGAGTCTTTGGCAAAAGTCATTTTACACCAGTCTCTCAAACAGTCTTCTTTCACTGGGCTTGCCTACTTATCAGCCTGAATTGAACCTTGGCTCATGATCATGATCAGTTTTCTTAGTATCTCAGCAAGCAAAGATGCAGTGAGTGGTTAGAAAAGAGCTATCTCCCAAGTAAAGGCTAGTCAATGAAAAATCTAATGGCAAAAAATGATTATTATGACAAACATACACATGCCCCAAGACCCAAATATTTCCACATGTCAAAGCTTGCTTGGCTGGGAAAATTCACCCAGCATCTATAGAAGTGAACTGTATATTTGCAATCCAATTCAGTTTTCAGTATTAGAGGATTTAGAACAACTTTAATCATGTTGAATTTTTCTTTGCATTTTTAAGTGAAAGAAGATTGAGCTAGATCATTATCTGGCATGAGTCAGTGCTGGGAAAAAAAAAAAAAAAAAAAGAAAAAAAAAAGGAACCAAGCAGAGCTCAGAGGCTTAATATTACAGTATGTGGCTATTCATGACTAAGCCCTTGGCCATCAGAAAGAATCCTGAAACTGTTTAACAGAAGCAGTAGGACACACTAAGTAATAGCCAATTACTTAAACCAAAAAGTCTCTTTGAGAATCATCTTGCTGAGTAGAAAAGCAATTATGAAAGTTTATATCATTCTTTGCAGATCCTGTGCATCTGCTTCTCTGTATTTCTAGGTATATTACCACAAGAATTTGGATGTAGCAAAGCTACAAACCATTTCTAGAATGAAATATATTGTTACTCATTTCAGATGCGTAATAGTGCAATCATCATTACAGTAAGGGAGCATAAAGTGAAAGCTACATTTATTTAATGTGTATTTTCAGAAATATCATGGATTTCTTCAGCTATATAGAGTAGTTAAAGGATATGTTCTGTATTACCAGCTTAAAGCAGTGCTACTTAAGGTCAATCTATGTGACAATTGCAAATATCTGAAGTCACTTTATGCCCAGCAGGTGAAAAGTATCTATCATGACAAAATTCTGACACAGTATATTTCCATCCTTCAAGATACTAATAAATTCAAAAACCTTTTTTAAAGCCACTCCAGTATTCATTGTCTGTAAATCAAGCCACAGCAAACTTTCAAAAGTGAAGAAGGAGCTAGCAAACTCCATATCAGTACATCAGTTTCTCTTCTTTCATTATCAAGAAAATTAAAAGCTGTAGTTGAGGCACAAGTGATTTTTATGTAGAAGTTCAGAAGTATTTCAAATAAGTAGACCAAAACTTCAGTACTTATTTTAACTTCTTAAAAAAAAAAAAAAAAAAAAAAAAAAAAAAAAAAGACATAAATCGCAGATCTATGATCACAGTCATAGATCATAGTCACTGCAAAGTTGCACTGGATTTCTTATTTTTTCCAGTATGAAAAAAAAAAAAAAAAAGTTGGTTCATGGAACTTACCAAATCAACTTTATACTGCCATTTCTCATAGTCCATGGTTAATCAAAACAAATAACAGTCATGTTTCAAGGCAGCCTGAAAGCATTCTACTACACTCAACAATAAACTACTTCTTCAGTGGCGACAGCTTCAGTGAACCCAGTAACTCCGAGAAGAGTCTGGCCAGCTGACCTGGCAGCAACACTGCGTGCAGAACTTATATGAAAGTGCGCTGACAACAAGCTTTCAAAAATAAGTCCATACCATAAGAGCTTGTGCTTGAAACTACTTTTATAGCTAAGATTATTGTTTCTGTTAAGAGGCACTGCATAAATATGGAGTTAGTCATCTAATGCACTTAATATTTCTCAGCCGAGGACTATTGCAGTTTTACTCTATGTTTAGGTGTTGATTATACTTTGGTTTGTTTTACAACAGTAACATTGCACTAGTAATACAGCTGATACTAAAGAGAAGGCTGAAAACATTGAAGGATCAAAATAAACAAGCTGCTCCTTTACTTCTTTTCATGCTTCTTGGTTAATTTCCCTCTTTCTAGCTGGAGGCTCATACTGCTGTTTGTTCGCTTCTCCTTTTGTTGGCTTTCCTGGGAAACTTGCTGTACTGCTTGGAGGATAGCGGTCTGCACAATTTGCTTGCTGGCATTCTGCAGCTTAACTTCGTCTTGCTCTGGACCCGGTTTCTCACCTGCAGGAACCAAACAAAAAACAAACTGAATCAAGCATTTTTGACCACTCTGTGAACACCTGAGGGATAGAAAAAGAGAAGGAAAACAAAACAAAACAAAACAAAACAGGGTGCTTGGGAACAGTTTATGACATAGGGAGCCTGCTAATGCAGAAAATGACATAGTAGGTTGGAAAGTTTCTACTGCATGTTCAGCACTACTGGACTGAATGAAGAGGCAGAATTTGAGTCATACAGTGCAGCTACCCAGTTCCCCACCCTAAGAACAGCTGTGGTTTCACAGTTGAAACTAGTACAGCTCCATTTTGCATCATCAGAGGGAGTTTTTTGTTGTTGTTTTCACATCCAGCTCTGAATCACATCCTTTTTGACTTCAGCTGCACTTCTGCATAGGGAATTTGACTTCATTTTACAGATCTGATGTAAAATGAAAAGCCATGAAAAGGTAAATTTTTCTATTAATGTTTCTATTTAATTTTACTTAATATTAAAAGCCCTCACCCAACAAATTCCACTTGGTGAGGGAACAACAACAACAAAAATCAATAGAAACCTAACAAATATACTTTTCTTATGTGATTTTTTTTTCCACAATGCTAAAATCTGGAGAAAAACGAAGCAATGCAGCATGACAGATGACATATGGTAATGAAGAGAAGTATATTATGATAAGAGGTTTCTCTTTTGGAATTATTTTGACTCCTAGCAACAATGATAATTATGAAGGACAATAAAGAATGTTGTAAAATGGTCAAAGTTTATCTCGATGTACAAAAATAATAATTCTGAATTAAAGTGAGGTACACCCACTAAAAAGCTGTATTTAGGAAAAGGTCCGCTTGATAATTGAAATGCTTAGAGTAGGTGTTTATTTGCATCACTCACTTGATTTGATTTAATTTTTTTTCAGATATTCATCTCAATTCTTTCTTAATCAACTGTACTGTAGTCAAGTATTTCATTAAGTGGGAACTGTATTTTACTGTCTGTTTTGAAACCATATATTAAAAACTCTATCCTGAGAGAAGTAAAACAGAGTGAATTGAAGGTCAGATGCTTTTATGAGAGGTCCACATTTGGAGCTGTGATATATTCCTGATGTTCCTTAAAAAATGTTTGGAAGAAAATTTAAGATAGAATCAAAAAGTAAAGTAAAATCACCTGATTATCTTACAGAAGACACTATAAGGACATGTGAGCCTAAACCAACCACTACCAAACTTTATTATGTGAGAAAGAAATAATTCAGTAATAAATAATTCAGTATCTCCAATACCTCTTCTAAGTGGTTTTAAAAATATACTTATTTCTATCAATTATGTACATATTATAAAAGTTCTGGCTAAAAGAAAAATGCAAATGTGTTTTAATTCTGTTGAAATGAAATACATGAAGAATAACCCACAGCTGTACTGAGATGACTAACTCTGACTACAGTTCAGAGGTTAAGACCATAAAAACTTAGAAAACATATTTAAATCTGGAAATGCTATCCGAATGGAATCACTTGAATTCTTGGCTCAGTCAGCTTCCCTGATTCACTTTGTTCCACCCATAAGCACTTGAAACAGTGTTTTTTGGATGCAGTTCATTTATTTAACAATAATGTATAGATATTCCTTTTTTTTAATCTAATATTAACTCACATTTTTATTACAGAATGAATCAGTCTTCTTGCTGGCTGAAAAATATCCAACTCAGCTGGTGTTCAGAAGATAATATATTAGCAGAAGTATGAATAAACATGAATTTCTAAACACATGTGATATTGTAAATACAAGTGACTATGTTGCAATTGGCTATGAGGTAATATGGAATGTGAGAAATTTGCCAACACACATAACCATAAAAAATCAGAATTTGTGGTTAAAATCATACTGTTGTTAAGCATGTAGCTGTTGAAAATTACCTGATTTTATTTCTTTGGGGGTGCTTCATGATTTATTTTGTTCTTGCTACTTAATCTACAAATTCTGACTTTTATATATATATATGTATGTATATATATATATATACGTATTATATATATATATTAGGAAGATTACCCAAGTTTTTCAGTTGTTATAGAGCAAATCCTGCCTTTAGGTACTACTCAGCTAAGTGAGACCTCTATTACATCTACCTGTTACAATATTCTGGTTTGTGCTGGGAAAACAAAACAAGCAGAGAGAACCCAGAACCTCTGATCTATTTCTACCTTAATTCTGACGTCTTAGGTATACACAAATGAAATAAAGCAGCATAAACACTTAACAATTTTACATGCATACAACATATCTGAGATTACAGTAACCCAAGTAACAACAGCTAATTGGCTTTGGTTATGAAGAAAGCTAAAGATGTTGGCCTGGGGTGATGTAAACAATGGGACCATTGGCAGCCAGGAAACTATAGACCTGTTAGTCTAGCTTCATTAGTCAGAAAAACTATGGTGAAAAGCATTTAAAGAACAAAGCTACTATCAGGCATAGTCAACATGTTCACATAGGGAAAGTCCTACCTTAGTAATTTGATCTAGCAGGTCTAGGGAAGTGATTGTCCTCCTGTACTCCGCTCTGGTGAGGCCGCAGTACTCACAGTACGAGTACTGTGTTCAGTTTTGGGCCTCTCACTACAAGAAGGACGTGGAGGTGCTCAAGAAAGTCCAGAGAAGGGCGACACAGCTGGTGAGGGGTCTGGAGAACACGTCTTACGAAGAGCGGCTGAGAGAGCTGGGATTGTTCAGCCTGGAGAAAAGGAGGCTCAGGGGCGACCTCATTGCTCTCTACAGGTACCTTAAAGGAGGCTGCAGCAAGGTGGGAGTTGGTCTGTTCTCCCATGTGCCTGGTGACAGGACAAGGGGGAATGGGCTTAAGTTGTGCCAGGGGAGGTTTAGGTTGGATATTAGGAAGAACTTCTTTACCGAAAGGGTTGTTAGGCATTGGAATAGGCTGCCCAGGGAAGCGGTTGAGTCACCATCCCTGGAGGTCTCAAGAGTTGTAGAAAATGGGGTTACATCTGTCTGGTGGCCAGTTACTGGTGATGTTTGCCAGGGCTCAAGTCTAGGACCAGTCCTGTTCAACATTTTTATCAATGATCTGGATGCAGGAGTGGAGTGCATCCTCAACAAGTTTGCTGATGACACTAAACTGGGAGGTGCTGTTGACTCACTGGAGGGATGAGAGGCCATGCAGAGGGATCTAGATAGATTGGAGCATTGGGCAATCATAAATGGCATGAAGTTCAACAAAGGAAAGTGCCAAGTTCTGTACCTGAGGTGGATTAATGCTATATACAGGTACAGACTGGAAGACAAGCATCTGGAGAGCATGTCAGCAGAAAGGGACCTGGGCGTGCTGGTGGCAGCAGGCTCAAGCTTTCAGTCAGAGTGTCATCTTCAGGCTGAAGAGAGTCAAAATTTACTATACTTTAATTTTTATTTTCAAAGTGTCGCAGCCATGGGAGCACCTTCCACTCCATTTACGATACTGAGTTATTTTGTTATTTTGCCCTAACTGTTGGCTAAAAAATCTTTTGCATTCCATTATGTCCTAAAAATATGAGGTTTTGAAATTGCTGAAAAAGAACTCTGCTTCAAGAAGGGAATCTCCCACACTTTTTCCTTTTTCCTTTTTTTTTTTTTTCCCTTTTTTTTTTTTCTCTCTCTTTAGATAACACTTGGAATCATAAAGTCTGAAAACAGGAAAATCTAGCAATCATTCACCTGAGAAGTGTGGGTTTGGTTGCCTTCTTGTTTCCAGCAGGTGAAGGGAGGTGATCCTTCCCCTCTACCCAGTTCTGGTGAGGCCATCTCTGGAGTACTGTATCCAATTCTGGGCTCCCCAGCATAAGAAAGACATGGAGCTTCTGGAGAGAGTTCAACAAGAGGGCACAGAGATGATGAGGGTCCTGGAGCACCTCTCCTATGAGGAGAGGCTGAGAGAACTGGGACTCTTCAACCTGGAGAAGAGAAGGCTCTGGGGGGATCTCTGGGGGGATCTGGGGGGATATACAAATACCTGAAGGGAAGGTGCAACAGAGACAGAACCAGGCTCTTGCCAGTGATGCCCAGTGTCAGGACAAGAGGCAATGGGCACAAAGTGAAGCACCAGATATTCTCTCTGAACATCAAGCAACAATTCTGTGCTGTGCAGGTGACCAAGCACTGGCACAGGTTGCCCAGAGAGGCTGTGGAGTTTCATCCTTGGAGATCTTCAAAAGTTGCCTGGACATGGTCCAGAGCAACCTGCTCTGGGTGGTCCTGTCTGAGGCAGGGGATTGGACCAGATGAATTCCAGAGGTCCCTTCCAACCTCAATCATTCTGTGATTTTGTGACTCCAGCTGGCAAGGCTGACATAAAACACAACTTTTCAATTTCCTGAAGGAGTACACAGCAGTGTCTAGAAGGGTATAATGTTCAACTCTTCTTCCAACTATTAATTTCACGGAAAGCAGTCAGCACAAAGCTGTTTTCTGAGAAGCTCATTTATTTGTTGATATTCTGCACCTACTCTGAACGAGAAGAGAAGAATTGGCTAAGAAAAGCAGAGATGACTCATGCAAGGATCCCAAAGGGACTGAGCTGGAAGATATCTATCAAACTGCTCTAACTTACTGAGATACAGACTGTTGTGGACATGAACAAAGGCGGAATTCTGAGTGCCTATAGTATTAATCAGGCATTTTAAGGACCAAATACTTTAAATTAGGTAAAACACGGGCATCTCCACTGTTATCTAAGCATTTGGTGTTTAGCTAATCAAACCAAGAATGACTAGGGTGATAAGACACAACTAATTTTTATTTATGGTTTTTGTTTGATTGTTTTGAAGAATAACTTTACATTTAATAAAAATTCCATGACAAAAGTTCTGTTGAAGTACTTGCTGGTAAAAACTTGCAGGACAGCATGAACAACATTCTCCCTGAAAGTTATCCTTGTCTTACAGCTACTTTTTCCTCTTGATGTCAGAAAATCTTTTCTACCTATTCTCTGCCTTTAAATGCTCACTTCAGTTAT